CCCATCAACTAGTCAATTAGCTGATTAATTGAAATTTAACATCCTTAGCCCTGATGTAGGAAAGTTTTTTGATCTGGAGTAAATTCTAGCAGAGCACATGGGTATTCTTCTAGTCTGGCAGGGATCAGAATTGCTGGTACAGCAAACACCAACGATAAGCCTAAACGGTAATTAAACATTTGCAGCTAGCCTGTGCCAGCTGACTCAGGCTTGGGCTGAAGGACTATAAGATTGCTGAGTGGATATCTGGACTCAGATGCAAACCTGAGCCCATGGAAAGAGGGTTGTAGGCCTGGATTCTAGCCAACACCTGAATGATTGTATTGCAATTCGATAGCCCCAGAACTCAACCTCTTTGAGCCTAAGGCCTTGTCTATACTACCCCAGGCTGTCAACTTCAGCTATGTGAATAATGTAGCTGAAGTCAATTTAAGTTTGCTTATGGCTGTAAATTAGCTAATGCTCTATTAACTCTGCTTACTCTTCTCATTTTGATGGAGTACTGGAGTTGATGGGAGAGTGCTCAGTGGTAGATTTATTGCATCTATAACTACGAGATAAGCAAAACATACTGGATTGATCCCTATCTTTTGATCCAGCATATAATGAAGACGTGCCCCGAGTTGCTGACAGGGCAGCCATGGGTGTTTTATTGCAGTGTAGACACACCCTAAGATTTCAGCCCTCTGTAGTGGCACCAGAAGCCAATTCTGAGATACAGAGGACATTCCTGTGGAAGGAATCAATCATTCAGGTCAGGGAATGTGTTTACTCCCAGCCTATGCATCTACACCATCACTATTTAGCATTGATGTGAGACCAAGATTAGCTTTTCTGATCTATTTAAAGCTGGAAATTTGTATCTTCATGTCAGAATGTGTCCCCAGGGATCAGATTCTCCTCTCTAGGAAAGGAATGACCATCTAACTTTTCTTTGGACAGAAAATACCAACATCCACAACATGACAAGACCTATCAATCCTAGGGGGTTCCACTACATCCACTAACCCCAGAAGAGTTAATCTGTCCCATGGGAAGTCCTGAACTTCAGTCCTCTGTGCCCCCCACTCACCCACCATGAAGCTGAAGCACCAGGCGAGTGAAGTGTCGCAGATGGGGACCACACAAGTGAAGCAAAAAACCCCAACCCTCACTGCAGTGGCCCCCCATCTGATTTCTCTGTGGATCCGTGTCCCCAACCCAAAAGTTTTAACTTATATATGTGTATATGCTGTTTTAAACATTTTCTAGGCTACCTTGAATATTTTAAATAGAGGGGCGAGGTAAACATTTAATAAAAAGGGTTCCCCTACCCCTGTCAAAGACTGTGTTGATACCTTTTGTGGTCAAATTAATCTTACTTTTAAACAGCAATGGCTGCTGTTCTAACTACCCTCAAGAAGCATCAATATTTTAAAATCTTTTTATCTTTCAAAAAGGGAAGCTGACTAATAATTTGCTCTCCAATTTCAATACACACTTAACAATTCAAGATGGATTTATTTTTTCCAGCAAGTTTATGGGTATCAATAGTGTACTTCACTTAGGGTTGGATTAGCTGTCTTTATATCTGGAAATGTTACATTAATATAAAACTATCACCTTGTCCAAAAGTGAGTAGTTATTTGGTGTAGGTTAGAATATTCAGTGCAATGTTCAACATCCCATTTATGAACTGAACATGTCACCTATCTGGAAGAAATGCATTCTATGGTATTTCTTTCTTCAACTTGTTTGTTAAACAAAGCGTGAGAGTACTTTTGTCCCATGAATACCTAGTAAGGCTAAAAACCATTAAGCTGCAGATAAGCCACCTCCTTCTCAAATCTGTTTCCTTGAGCTCTTAAATGAGCTTCAAGACATGACACAAGCCATTTCAGTAGTAAGATATATGGGTAGGGAAGTAGCATGTGTTATTTAATACTATCCTTAGAACAGGTTTTATAGGGGTGCCAACACCAAGAACCTAGCTGTCACAGGTTAAGTAATCCTAACCCAGTAGCAATAGCTTGAGGGTTATGTCCATGAAGTTCAGATTTCTGAACCATACAAAATACCCTTTTCACTGTCCAGATCTAGTATGGCAAGCATGTTTATCCTATGCAACAGGCAAATATTTTGCTTTTGTATCCATTCCCAAAATGTTTAAGATGTTTCCTTATCAGCAAACAAGAGAAAACTGAAGCACCTTGAGCATATTTGATCTGCTGAAACCTAATTTATAAAATTGAGCCTGTCTGATTAAAAACTATCAAAATCTCTCTACTTTAAAAAGGAAAAAAGAATGAACACCTGAATTTTGCAGATAAATCTGACTTGATACCTTTAACAAAAGCAATACCACAACTTTTATCGTGATAGAAATGTAGCCGTGTTAGTCTGGGGTAGCTGAAGCAAAATGCAGGACAATGTAGTACTTTAAAGACTAACAAGATGGTTTATTAGATATGAGCTTTCGTGGGCCAGACCCACTTCCTCAGATCAAATAGTGGAAGAAAATAGTCACAACCATATATACCAAAGGATACAATTTAAAAAAAAAATGAACGCATATGCAAAGGACAAATCACATGTGATTTGTCCTTTGCATATGCATTCATTTTTTTATTGTATCCTTTGGTATATATGGTTGTGACTATTTTCTTCCACTATTTGATCTGAGGAAGTGGGTCTGGCCCACGAAAGCTCATATCTAATAAACCATCTTGTTAGTCTTTAAAGTACTACATTGTCCTGCATTTTGCTACAACTTATCGTCACTGAAAAACCTACATTTCAAAGTCCCTAGCCAGTAGTTTAAAATACCACTTCAGAATTTAATCTGTACATATGGGAGAGGGGCAGAAAAAAACCACCACATTTTGCCTCTGAGCAAGCTACGCCATTTACTTCATGGCAGATAAGTATTAGACATTTGTGCTAATCCCAAGTATTGAATGTTTCATGCCCAAGTAGAATCTGAGAAAAGTACACAGCAGTTTAGGTCTCAGTGACACTAAATGCCAATGTAATTACTGTTTGTTGTCCTTTATAAGTGCTTATCTAGAATTACCCTTTTTATTTTAGTCATCACTGATTCTGAAAACCTATGACGTATACTTTATAAAAGCCCCACAGCACTCCCACCTGTAAAATTAGTACTCTGTTCCTTTGAAAAACTTTGCTCTACAGCAAATAGTATTAGAAAGCTTAGATGGGCTTGGATCACTACATGTAGAGGAAAAAAAGTTGTACTAGGAAGCAGAGTTGGCTCAAGTCCTACATTGGTAGTTTGAAATGGATATTTAGTCTAATAACTATACCCAATTGGGACAATTAAGTAGTGTTTTTACAGCTTCAAAATCTGAAAAAATAAAAAATTTACCAAGCTGTTACTAGGGATGTCAGTGTGTAGTTAATTAGGTGTTTAACCTATAAACCCAGGCTTATTTGTTATCTTGACGACTACATGCACTTTCCCCTTGCTGCCTCTGTATCAGAGGCAGTGGGTGAAGGGGAAGAGCAAGAGCAGTGTCTGAGGAATTGGCTTTAAGCAGGCTCCCCACAAGCACCAGATCCACCTGCCCTCTTCAGCTGTGCACTTCTGCCTCTGACAGAGGCAGCAGTGCAGAGGGTGAGGTGGTCAGGCTAGAGAGGATAGTTGTGAAAAGCCAGCTTTTGAGTAAGCTCCCTGCATGTGCTGTCCCTGTGGACCCACCTGCCCCCCCTTGCTGCTTCCTACGGAGGCAGTGAAGGGGGGCAGACAGAAGCCAGTTCCGAGCACCAGCTCCGCAGTGCCACCTACGCTCTCCGCTATGTAAAGGGGGAAGGGGATGCTGCCACAAAGCAGCCACTGTCCAGTGGGAGCTCAGTCCCTCTGCATACAGGAGCTGCTGCCACCCACCACTACTGCATCTGATACCAAGGCAGTAGTGTGAGGTGGCAGGGGGCTCCCTAGGAGTGGGGCCAGGAGTACATGGGTTGCTGGCCCTGCCCCTGGGACCCATCAAATAGTCATGTAACCACCAAGATTTCATGCAGATATTCAATTACACAATAGTTGTGTAGTTGAATATCTAACATTTGTAGTTCCCACATCTGTCAAGTGTCTGAAATCCATTGTAAGCTTTGTTTTGTCCAATGGAAAGCACCCTTTTCCCCACCAAAAAAGACTCACAAGTAGAACTTCTTTGAATGCTGTAATTTCTGTAGTAATTTGCATAAATTAAGCCAAACACACAGAATTTTGGTCAACACACCTGAATGGATAAGCACGGAATATCAGACATGATATTCCGTGTTTGATACTTTAACATTGTAGGTTTTTAAACAAGGTCTAATCACAAGTTTGTTCTAAAACAGTGCAACCACTTAACAGTAGAAGATGGATTGGTGCTAATAAAATTCCAAGAAATAAACCTCACACTTACTTGTTTATAAACTGCTCAAGAGCTTGCTTCCTTTCTTCTATAAATGAATCGTCAAATATTCCATCATCTCCTCTAAAAGGAAGCTGACGGAGGAGAGCTTTCCCAGGTAAGGATGGTACCACAACCTGAAACATTTTTTAAAATTACTACCTATAACCATGGCCTATACATAAATTAACACTCACCCATTTGTTTTGGGGGGGGGGGGGGG